TGTGCCGAATGACTGCACCGACATGATTGACCTAACAGGGGACTTACCGTCATACCATGATGATGTAGAAGCTTCGATGAATGAAGTCGAAGCTCCCCCAACCCCAGGAGAATGACACGAGAGTTTTTCCTCCCTCCTCTTCCTTTTCTTTTTTTCTTTTCCCGTCCTTCTTCCTTTCCCTCCTTTCCTTTTCCCCTTACTTTCCTTTTCTTCCCCTCTTTGTGTCCTTCTTCCTTTCCCTCCTTTCCTTTTCCCCTTTCCTTTTCTTCCCTTCTTTCTTCCTTTTCTTCCCCTCTTTGCTTTTTAGCTCATTCCTATCTTATTCACTCTTATTAGTTCTATATTTTAAGATGAAGAGTTGTAAAATAAAGAATACTAAGAATCATTGTCGTAGAATTTGATGGGGGCACTTAAAAGACAGATAAAATTATTTTTATGAGTAAACTTTAAGATTTCAAGATTTGGGATGTTCATGAAGAAACGAATTTTATGTGGGATAAAGTAACAAACACTATTAAAAAAGTGATAAAAGATGTCCTTAGAGAATTAAAAGAAAAAGTTTTTATAAATAAAAATTGTCGGTGGTGTATTTATAATGTGAATGAAAAGATAAAATATAAGAAGTTATGTTATAAAAATTGATTTAAATGTAAAAGTATATAGAACTTAGATAAATATAAAATGTTCTATAGGGAGTTTAAGAGAACAATCTGTGACGCTAAAAGTTCTGCTTTTAGTGGTCTTTATAATATATTAGATACTAAAGAGCGTGAAAAATATATGTATAAACTAGTCAAATAAAGAGAAAATAAAATAAAAGATTTAACTCAAATAAAGTGTATTAAAAAGTGATTTTCTTAGAAAAAATATATTAAACATAGGTGGGTGAGTTATTTTGATAAATTTTTTTAATGAAGTTTCTGAAAATACGATCGACTTTACTGATATTACCTCACTGATATTAATATCGTTAATAATGATAAAATGTTTCATTTTTAATGTCGCCTTAACAAAAAATAAGTTAAGGAGGCTTCAAAGAAAACTAAGGGTGGAAAGTCTGTAGGACCTGACAATCTATAAATTGAAGTGTGGAAATATATAAGAGATTTTGGAGTTTCTTGGCTTACTAAACTCTTTAATATTATTTTAAAAACTAAAAAGATGCCTCAGGAGTAGAGGAAGAGTATTTTGGTCTCCATTTTTAAGAATAAAGGGGATGCACGAGAGTGTGCAAATTATAGAGAAATTAAGTTGATGTGTCATTCTTTAAAATTATGGGAGAGGGTAATTAAATATATGTTAAGGCGTATTACAATGATATCTCATAATCAATTTGGATTTATGCCGGGAAGGTCTACTATGGAAGCTATACAATTATTGAGAGGTTTGGTGGAGAAGTTCAAAGAGAATAAGTAGGATCTACATATGATTTTTATTGATTTAGAAAAAGTTTACGATAAGGTTCCAAGAGATATGCTTTGGAGAGTTCTAGATAAGGAAGGTGTTGATATGACTTATATTCAAGTCATTAAAAGTATGTATACTGGAGTTGTTACTTGTGTTCGAACAGGAGGATTGACCTAATATTTTCTTATTTTAGTTGGATTACATCAGGGGTCGACTTTAAACCCATATATTTTTTGCTTTAGCTACGGATGCTCTTACTGGATATTTACAGGAGGATGTGCTCCAGTGTATGCTTTTCACTGATGTTATCATTCTCGTGAATAAGACTAGAGAGAAAACTCAAGAAAAACTTGAATTATGAAGGTCTACATTGGAGAGCACGGGCCTTCATTTGAGTAGAGCTAAAACTTAATACATGAATGTAATTTTAGTAGTCGTAGCTCTAGTGATAGTGTTATAACTATGAGTGATCAAATTATTAAAAGTTGTTAACGTTTTAGATATCTCAGGTTTATTGTTGAAAGTGATGGTGATATAGATGGGGATGCTATTAGTAGAATTCAAGTTGGTTGATTGAAGTGGAGGAATGTTTCAGGCATATTATGTGATAGAAAAATACCGCTTAGACTGAAAGGAAAATTTTATAAGATGGAGGTGAGACCTTCAAGGCTCTATGATGTTGAATGTTGACCTTTAAAAGAGAAGCATAAAACTAAGTTAAGTGTTGCCAAGATGAGAATTCTTAGGTTGATGAGTGGCTTTATACTTAGAGACAAAATGCGAAATGAATAAATTCGTGATAGGGTTGGTGTGGCTCAGTGACAGACAAAATTAGAGAGTTGTCTGAGTTGGTTTGATCACATTAAATGTCAAGCATTTGATGATCCAATTAGAAGAGTAGATGTTTTAAATTCGACTTATGTTAAGAAAGTCAGAGGTAGACCTAGAAAGACTTGAGCATATTGTATAAAAAATGATCTTAATAGGATGTAATCAGATTTTCCCTCAATAGGATGCAAAAAATGATCTTAATAGGATCTTAATATTGATGAGCATATTGTATTAGAATTAAATGAATATTTGACACTCAATAGGATGCAATGAAGAAAAGGGATTCATGTAGCCGGGATAAAGGTTTGTTGTTGTTGTTGTTATTATTCTTCCTTATGTAATCAGATTTTCCCTCACTTTATTTCCTTGCCTAAATCTGAAATCCTGATTATAATTGATTCTTCTTTCTTATTTTAAGTCTTGCTTAATATAAGTCCTAACCCCTCTTATATATAATGGTCGTTTTGCTTAGGGAAGGAGGTGATTTTTCAGATTTCAATTTGTGTGGACAACTGTTGGCATCCTGTTTTCCCCTCGAGGGTTGTATCCGACGATTAGGATGGTGGTCCAGTTGTATTCCTCTCCCCGGTAGTAATTTTCTTCGATTTCCCTTGCCCCGCAACCATTCCGTACCTACCGCCATCCCCTCCCCTTGCTGCAGTCCCGCGAAACAACGCTTTACGGTTCCTGCAACTGCCCGCTAGCTCCTCCCACAACCTCTTCCTCCTTGTCGTCACCCCCCTCCTTTTCCCTTCCCAGAGTTCCCTTGCCGCATTCATTCCCCACTCCAGCCCAACTCCAAAAGCCCAACATTAGCCGCCCTTCACTCTATCGTTCCGTCATTACCAACCGCCTCCACTATAAGGCCTTCCACTCTCCCAGAATTGACGGCTTCTCCCGCAATTTCACCAGCCAACCTACAACCACAATTTCCCAGCCTTCCAATTCGTAGCACCTGCTGCCCTCCAAACCGTAGTTTTCTTCCCTCTCCGCCGCTCTCCAACCTGCATCCTCGGCGGTTCCATCTCCTCTCACCAAATCGTCGTCACCCTAGGGTTTCTTTTATGTTTGTTTGCCATTTTTTTCATGTTTTGAAAAATCATTATAACCAATTTCAATTTCAATAAATATTTATGTTTCTTTTGTGGCCTCCGGTATCGGTAGTATACTGACACAAATCTGCATCATACATCGCATGATAATAAGTTATGCTGGGTACCGGGTGCTCTTGCAATGCACAGATGATTTAGGGTATGTTTGGGGCAGCTTATAAGTGCGGGCGGCGTTTTGAAAACGCCGCCTCATTGTTTGTTTCGCACGTTTCTGGTGATTATTTGAAAGCTGTGTTTTTTTTGTTTTAGTAAGAAGCCGATCGCGGGGTTATATCCGCGTTCGCGTTTGCTGTCCACGTTCCCTCCTTTATTTTACGCCCCTGCTCTCGCTTGCTCACGGAACCACTCCGTTTGTCTTCTCGTCCGACTCTCCCTCTCGCCGTCGAAGCTGCTGAAGCCGGGCGCTTCACTGGCTACCCCATGCTCCTCCGCTCCAGCAGGTGCCACCTCACTGTCGTTGCTTCTTTGGCGAAGTAGTTCCCTCGTCGTACCTCATGTCGGCCTGCTCCTTCGACATCGCAAGGGTTCGGTCATGAAAGCGATTGCTTTATGCGAAAATGGGAGGGTGGAAGCGGAAGGGGAAGGCACAGGCGAGGGTTTCATAGAGGAGAGAAGAGAGAAAAAGGAAGATAAGATGGTTTTGAACTTTAATTTAACTTTATTTTAAGTTTATTTTTTTATTAATTTAATTGATTAGTACTAATTAGTTAAATAAATATTGTTATTGAAATTAATTATAATTAGATAAATCAATATATAACCATAGAATGATTGATTAATAAAAAAATTAAATTATATATTAATTTTAATTAATTTAATAAAATTCAAGTGATAATTAATTAATATAATTAATATATAATCAATTTTTAATTAATTAATATTAAACTATAAGTTAATATAATCAGTTTTATAAAATTATTATTGATGGCTAATCGACTCTATAAATATTTAATTATTGATGTACAAGAGCAAAATAGTTATTTCCAGAAACAGTTGTAGATCAGCTGTTTTCCACCAGCTGAAACCAAACAGTCAGCCAGCTTATCCGGTTCAGCTGTTGATCAGCAGCTTATCCAAATCAGCTGATTGTCAATAAGTTGCAGCTGTCCCAAGCAGCCTCTTACATGGCTCACAGTATGTGTTAAATGGCTAGAATGGAGAAGCAGAGAAATACTATGTTTTAGTTTTTGCTGTCAGTGTTTGCAGGCCAGTTTTGCACGTGAAACCGTTTTGTGATATAAAAAAGGGGAAATTAAAAAAGGGGAAATTTACATAGGAAATTTACATAGTGCCACACAATTCTTATGTATTTACATATCTCACACCTAAACTTTCATATTTACATAAATCACATTTTGGTGCTTTAAAACTATGCATGAAAATGTCTATTTCAATTTTAAAAAGTATTAATGGTGTTGTTTTTGATGTGATATTGAAGATTTGATGATAGCATTTTTGTTCCATCAGAGTGACGTTATTCTACACGATGTGAATGGTTTATATTTTTTTTTTTTGACTGGTTTATCTTATAAAGAAATTTCTTTGTGAAGTTTATTAGTTTATTTCTGTTGACATCATATCTTATGCATCAACTACTTTTGGCAACTTGAATACTTAACCTTTTGCTTATCTCACCTTTTTTTTATGTAGTGGAATGGGTCCAGATTCCCGTGTCTTAGTGAGAAAAAGCCGAAAGCAAGCACAACAATATTTCAGACTATACAAAGTATTGTTTTGGTTCCCATCTTTCTTTGTTTGTTGTATTACACAAAACTATCTCAAGTAATTTTTAGTTGTTTCATCATTTCCTAGGCCAATCACATAAAATTTTCTAAATTGAATTGAAATTGAACAGGGAATGGATGAAACAACCAAAATTTAGTTTTTTAATTGGGCTATATTGTATGATCCATATAATGAACTGGTTAGACATGTCAGCTTCGGGTTAGGCGGCTCCGGTTCAAACCCGTACGATAAATGTATCGGGTTTGTATTAAGTATATTCAGGTTGGGTGAATTTTAGGTTAAACTTGAACTCGACAAGTTAAAACTCCTATTATTTATGTCCGCATTCATTTATTAGACAACTCACTGTAAATAGATTTTCCTCTATTTAATAATTGAGTCTTACTTGGTGATGTAAAATAACTTTTTCTGTATTTTGTGATCCTTGAGATTCAATGCACTTGCTGCTACTCCAGTACTCACTAGCTCTTTTCTTCTGTGTTCCCTGCCTTCTTGTACTTTCTTACCTGGTCCCCACTTTTTTTATTTTGCTTTACCTACAGTTCTCCTCTTTCACTGCTTACACTTCTTTTGTTGTTATTTCAGCTTTTTTGTCTTTGTCCTCATTTACTCACTTTTTTGTCCTCATTTACTCATTAGTATTGCCTATTGCCAGCTATTCGTAATATGTTGCCTTTGGTGCTTGTTGATCCTCCTACTCCCTTTCCTGTCTCTAACGATCTTTGGTTTTGTCGGTTCTATATTTAGCTCTATTTTCTTGTATATTTTAGCATATCTTGGAGCAATTTGGGAGTTGATCTTTAAGAAATCAAGAATTGGACATTCTATGGAAGATTTGATGTTACTAGAATTCATGAAATTTGTATTGAAACATGCTTTATTTTGATCCTTTATGAGTTATAAATAGGGACGCAGGGCTTGGCTTGACTGAACCGGCAAGGGGTTCAGCAAGAGGCTGAACCGATCGACTCTTTCATGTGATATTGAAACTTGTTTTTTTTTTAATTTTTTTATTGTGTATTTCATCATAGATTACATTAGTAACCCTAGGCATGTTGTCATCTAAAACAAACTAAGATGATTAAACTTACATAATTACATGTGATGGGAGACATAACTTAGGGACATTAGATTGTTGATTGATAGTTTGAATTACTTTTTGAGGAAAATCCATTGTTGTTTTTTTTTTTTTTTGAGAATTAAAATTGTGGAAACAAAATGAGTCAAATTTGCACACTTATTGGCATAGTATTGCAGGCAAAGTATTATAAAAAAAGGCTGGTGTGAGATAGACTTTAAAAAATATGTTGTGGAGAGTCTTAGCACGAATTTAGTAATTACTTTAAGGGCTGTTGACTTGATAAATCGAGTGTTTGCAATATGGCTACTTCATTATCATGATGTTTGGTTAAATGTCTTTTTAAGAGATTAGGATTGCCTTAAGCTACAATTTATCAGAAATTTTAAGTAGGAATTATACTTGATTAATGAATATTGAGCACGTTATGAACGATTTATTAGTAATAAGAGTATAATACACCTATAATTAAATTATTAAAATTTCTTAGGAGAAACGAATATCTTCTTTTATCGAACCTGTCTAACATGCACCAATTTTAAAATCTTGTATGGCCAAATATGATATTTATTAAAGTAACAGTAGTTCATGAATATCCTTTTGAAGAAAAAGTAGATAAATATTTCTAATTATAGTTGGATTTTTTTGATGATGTGGAGCCTAGATCTATAATTGCACTGGCATATATTCTGGAATCTATGTTATGTTTGAATTTGAGATTGAGTATATGCATATGTTGAATATGAACGTGCATTTATGAACTCCGACCATTAATTGAACAAGAATTGTTGAATTGAAATTTGAAGTTGAATTTAAGTTCAATTCCAAAGCTAACATTGAATCTATGATCATATCTGATCCTAATCTTCAAAGCGGATTTTATTCTAATTTCAAATGTGATTTTGAATTGTCATTGGAAACGGAATCTACACTTGAACTTGGAGTTAAATTTCCAATTAAAATTGTATTTAAACTAAAATATGTATACAAACAAAATGTCTGTTGAAGGTGACAAGTCAGTTGAATTATTAAGTCTTGAATGTGATGGATTAAATTATGGCTATTGTAGATGATAAATTGATTAAATGAGAATTAATTTAACACTTGGTTTATAATCGAATCTAAATTAATTTTAGTTTTGGGTCTTGTTTCAATGTACGGCAAATTCATAGAGAGAGTTTTGGATAAAATAAATTTGCGTCAATATTTCAACGAATTTTTTAGTAACAAAAGTTATAAAATGCTTGCGTTTTGAGATTTGGTCTGATCTGGATGTGGGTGATTGATCTCCACTAATTTTTAAGCCATTTTAAGAAGCTTTCGTGGAGGAGGTTGTTTGTTTATTTAGACATTTAACATGCATGCTTTGCATGTTTCAATTTTCTTTATCATCTTTTCATATAGCTCTGACTTATAAATCGTTATTAGTACTCCTTAGAATGCATATTATATTTTAATATTTTCATTACTTGTTTTCTATCATTCACATAATTTGCTTTAGTTGTGTGATTAGAGCTGCATGAAAATACTAATTAATTACCACAATCATAAGTTTGTAGTAGATTTCTCAAAATAGACATGGCCTTCCTAGAAATTAATTGCAAGAAATATTTGGCCATATAAATTTTTTGAATGTAGTGGGATCTATATTTTTCAATTGGAACTTTTTGAAAATTTTGGTAGAATTTTAAACTTTGATGTATCTAATTTGACTTTATTTCATGAACCTACTGCCAATGCCATCGATTCTTCTATCTTTCTGTCCCCTCACAACTTCACCTCCAACAGCTTACTAGATTTATTTACTCTTCTTGTTCCAAAGGTAGACTTTCATGCAGTGGTTGTACCCACAATTTCAGCTTTATTTTCTACAACAATTATTCTTTTTTATTTCTTTTTTTAAATACTTTTAATTTGTACATTGATACTACTCTAGATCTTGTACTCAAACTTTCTCGTACTGTAAATTGTGCAATAGATTATCTTTTATTTCCTTAAAATTAATAGAAATATATCTGTGATTTGAGAGTTTCATGTTCACAAGGATTTCTTGATCTTCTATTTATTGTTATCCTATATCAATGTCATTCATGATTTAGTCCGATAAAGTTGGCATTCTTCTCATTTTTTTTTTACTCGCCCTCACTTTAGGCTATAAAGCCACACCATTATTATTAATAAAAATCTCACCAATAATTCTTTTTGAAAATGACTCATTCTCTGTTCAAATACATGAATTATCTTAATTTACAAAATTCTGTTATATTTGAAGTACAAATAAAGCTCTTTTAATGGTGTGAATTAAATGAGTGTAGGGGTGTAAGCAAGTTCTATGCTTGAGCTTGAGTTTACTTTTATGAGTTCAAGCCGGCTCACGAACTGCTTGTTTATTATGAAAGAGAGAAAATGATATCAATTCAAGTTAGTGTTATGTTAAAATGACATGTAAAATGAGCAAATAAGAGAAAACTAATAAGAAATCACATGATATAAAATATAAAATATCACTTTTTTAATATTTCTAATAATTTAAAGATAAATTTTTGAATTTTAATATATTCTGGGTATATTTTATGTTAATTATTTTGTTAATTAGCCAACTCACGAGCTAACGAGCCGTGTCGGGACTAGCTTGAGCTTGGCTTGTTAGTTCATCAAGCTTAGTTCATGAGTCACTTATAAAGCCGAGCCTGAGTTGGCTCGCAAGTCTTCTTAGCTCAGTTGCACCCCTATGAATGACTATTTTTAATTGGGTTTTGCAGCTTGTTGGAGCAATATTGGTTCAGGGCTTCGAGATCGGTTTACGAGGCAGTACTTAGTTCAGTGGTTCTGTACAATGTATACCAAAACTTGACAGTATTTACTGAATTGAAAAGAATAATTTGTGGTTATAAGGCTAAGAAGTTACGTCAAGTACAACGAAGAAAAAAACACCATGGCGTTTAGCTTGTTTATACAGAAGGCCAAACCGATAGTGCATGACAAATAAACAGTTCTGTATCACTATAATTTTGTTTTTTTTTCATTTCATTTGTTAAGTGGCTGGTACAAGCCCAGTTCCGGCTTTATGTCAGACTAATGTTGCAATCTACATTTTGTACTTTTTTCTTTTTGGAACATGATAAGCAATATATTTTCATGTTAATAAGCTTTCGATTATGTTTATTGTGCTGCTTTTTTATGTATGTTATCATTGTAACTGTAGACTTTTGGTAAAAAAGAAGGGCATTTACAGACATACCCGCCCAATACCTTTGTATTTATCTATCACCTAATCTTTACTCTTTACATTTATATCTTCCATATCTTTCATATGATAAAAAACCATTTTTTTTTTTACTTATAAAAAGTGAAATGAACCTTTTTCATGCATGCATAAGGTGGCATATATGGAAAGATTGAGATTTAGGTCTTAGATATGTTAATACATAAGAACTGAGTGATATATATGTAAATCTTCCAAAAAAAAAAAAAATCCTAGTCATTATGATTACAAATCTCTTATTGTGTTTGCAGGAGGCCATTCCAGTCACACAACTAGTCAGGGAAACGGCTACCGTAATGCAGGAATTCACTCAGTCTGGGTAAAATACCTTGATATTACTTTTTGCACCTCTTATTGATTTGCATTTTATAAAAGCTTGGCTTGGCAAAACAAGCAGGATTCCCTTTTAAGGAAAATGAAGATATATTGTATGTAGGCATTAATGAAGAGAATAATACTATTCCAGAAATTACTGAAAATATTTATGAATATAAGTATACAATACAATACAGCAACAAACCCCACTTAAGTGGGGTGGGTTATATGAATCATTTGTCTCCATTGCATACTATTTAGTGTCATATTTTCATTTAATTATAATAAATTAAGACTATTTTTTATACAATATACCGAAGTATTCCTAAGTCTACTTCTGTCTTTCTTAACATAAGTTGAATCTAAAACATCTATTCTTCTAAAGTAGCTTTACAAAAAATTTTGGTATGTCTGTTTTTGGCACCAATAAATATCTTATCATTGTAGTCCCATAGCTGCATTTTCTAGTACAGATGTAGTGACTGAATATCATTATGATAACAAAGGTCTATATGGCTTTTCTTAGTCGTAACTGATAGGGTTGGCACTGTTCTGTATTGTTCCAAACTATACACTGTTTGGCATCAAGCTGAACCAAATTGAATGCAACAATCTTAGACTGAAACAAAACTATCTAATAGAGAAACAAAATCGATTAGCTTGCTTAGATTTTGATTTGGTCTTAAGCTTCATTGCTTGCTTCCAAACTCCAGAATATAGACAATATGGAAAGATATTTTTAATGCCGAACACAACCGAATTGGATATGGATGCAGTTTTCTTTGTAAGGCAAGTTGATGACGCAGCTACTCCTGTGTGGGCTAGGAAGGTTGGGTAAATGTTGTGTGAGTCATAGTTGGAGCTCGTGTGTGGGCTGGTGAGAAATTGGAGCTCGTGTTGTGTCAAAAGCTTTATAATACTAACAAATTAATATGTGAGTAGAGCATGATGCAACTTTAAATAATTTTTAGAGAAAAAGGAAAAGAGGAAAACAAAATAAAATTAAAGATAACTTGATGGAATATGACAAGTTAGCATACGATGAAACTTTGTGAACCTTGAGGAAAGTTTATTCTTTTTTGGTTCTTACACCTTACAACGAACAAAATTTGAAACTCTTATCCACTGGTGTTTCAATGCTATGCAGGCTTTGGCGAGAAATTGGAGCTCATGTTGTGTCAAACGCTTGATAATATTAACAATTAAATATGTGAGTGGAGCATAATGCAACTTTGAATAAGTTTTAGAGAAAAAGGAAAAAAAGAAAACAAAATAAAATTAAAGATGACATGATGGAATAAGACAAGTAAGCATACGATGAAAATTTGTGAATCTTGAGGAAAGTTTATTCTTTTTTGGTTCTTACACCTTACAACAAACAAAATTTGAAACTCTTATCCACTGGTGTTTCAATGCTATGTAGGCTCCCATCTAAATCATAAGGCTGCTTTTAAGAGTAGAGTATGGGCTAATAAAATAGGATGGGCTAATAAAATAGGAGGATCAAGGAGGATCATGATCAATGTTCATGCTTGCAAATGATATGGTGCACATATCCCTAGGATTATCAGGGGTAGACATATTAGGTTCAATCTCAATAGGATGCTCTAAAGTTTTTTTTTTTTTTTGGTGCCAAAGGAGTTGCAACCATTATATTTGAAGATATTTGACCATTATATCTAAATCATAAGGCTGCTTTTAAGAGTAGAGAATGGGCTAATAAAATAGGAGAATCTTGATCAATGTTCATGCTTGCAAATGATATGGTGCACATATCCCTAAGATTATCAGGGGCAGACATGTTAGGTTCTACCTCAATAGGATGCTCTAAAGTTTTTTTGTGCCAAAGGAGTTGCAACCATTGTATTTAAAGATATGATTTGATCGTTTGTATGTTTTATTTATGTTAGAAAGTTTGATTTCTTCAATTCCATATAAGGCTTGAAATATGTAAATTGTAGAGTAATACTTAGAAATTTTGCAGTAAGAACAATTGGAGGGTTTTCAAAATTTTCCTTTTGCTAATAGCTACAGGATGATGTACCAATTAACACCTTCCTATAAAGTGGAACAGTAACGTTTAATTCAACTATAACTGTAGCCATGAATCATCTGAGAGACCTGTTGCAGCAATATGTAATTGCAAGGTTTTATCTAAATGGAGTCCATAGAGTATAAGATGGAGTGACTAAAGTTATGCAAATAGAGTCGACGGAAAGCTACTAGAACATGAATAGCTAGTGCTTCATTGAAATTGTCAAAGTGATGAGATAATTTTAGCATGCACATTGGATAATCACTGACCTAATAGAACCTTCATGAAAAGAATCTAATTTGTCTACTTCTATAGAAAATTATATAATGATATGATCAGGGTGTAATGAGAGTCTAATAGAAAAGTCAGTAGTTAGTATAAATTTGACATAAATTTACAAATAAATCCCAAATCAGGATGACCAATAAAATTTTTCTATAACAAAAAAATAGTGAACTTGCAAGCTCTTTCAGTAAATAAAATGCAGCTTTGCCTAGAAAAATAGTTGGTTGTACTAAATCCTTGCTAATAAATAGAAAGAATTCGTTAGATGAAGAGTTTTAATTTTTCAAGCCTTCAACCCTCCAACTACTTCAATTTAGCGTCTGTATTACAAGTATCAGATGTAATGCCTCGTGCTATGTAAACAGGAGAAAGAGCCTTTGCGGAGATAGAGGTCATCATTAAAGGTGGCGGTGATGAAAGTGATCAAACATGGGGTTGAGTTAATTCTAACCTCAAATTAGTGTAGGGGGAAGAGATTAAGTTGAGATTATAGAGAGGCAATGTGAACGTCGACCAGAACTTCCCGATATTGTCAATGCAAACAAATATGCTAAACACTTTGATTTTGAATTGGAAAATGATAATTGATGCTTAGAGAGGAGATTAATAATTTGCTAGTAAAATTGATGATGACGAGCACAATGCATAAGGCTAGGATCAGGACTTCGATAGTTGGAGGTGACGGTGATCAAAAGAAACGAGGTGGCCTGTCTTTACTGCTAATGAGATCAGTGCAACCGGAGGAGGCTATTTAAAGGGGTTAACTGACATGAAGGGAGGCCGAAGTGATTGATTTTCATGCAGTGAGCAAAAGGTGAAAACAATGGGGCACATAATGTTGCAGTGATGAGGCTTCTTGAGCACAAGCAAGGAAGCTTGTTGCGTCAATTGAGCTTAGGTAAGGATTATTAGACATGACAAGCTCTAGATGCTGCATGGACGGCAAGATATAATAGTGCAAAGAAAAATGGCGTGGACTTTATTAACATCCCTTTTGGCCCAACTTTAGGTTTAAACTTAGTGGGATGAACCATATTATGATTGATTTTTTTATGTAAATTGAGATTTAAGATGAATGTGGTGCATTTGGGGATGGGATTCTGTAGCATCTTTTATGAGATCGAAAAGATTTCGAGAGTATGAACCTATATTTTCACTCATCCTAAAATCTTTTAGTTTTTTATAAGAATCAAGTGTTCATTAAGTATGAAGTACTTGTTATTTTAAGCACTAGGAGGTTGAAAAAAGATCTGAAAATCTCATTTTGTTCCTTGAATCAAGGAGATAAGTTGAAGCTCCGTAAATTAAGTAAAGCTAATCGACTAAAGCTAATTGACGAAGATACTATAGAGCGAAAGAGAATGGTAGGAAAGTTGTGGAGAGAATCAGATGTGGGAAATAAAGATCAAAGTGCACTAGAGGTGAACGACACATAAGAGAAAGCTTTTTTGAATTTCAACGTAGGAGAGATTAGGCAACATCATAATGCTGCCAGATTATGAATGCAGCATTTGAAGAGTGGTCAATCGTCATCATTTGATGCTCATTTGAACCTAGTTCTGTTGGAATTAATCTTTATAAACCATTTTCACAGGGCTTGTCTATCTCCTCTTCATAATTGCTGAATTGGCCATTCAAAACATTTTTCTTGGGCATTGTCACCCCCTGCCATATAGAGCTTCACTTGTTCTTTGTAGCCTTTTCTTATATATACCGCTATTCATCCATTCAGCGTTTTGCTCCTGTGGCAATTAGCATCGCTTGGCAGGAAGAAAATATTATGAAGGAGAATTATGACAGGTTTACGAGGAATAAAATGATATCCTGGCATCTAGATGCCACTTAAAATTAAGACATTTATATTCCTGTTAAATGGAATATTAATGTCTTTTTTAGATTTGTTTATAACTTTATTTTTTTATAAAATTGTTATCTAAAGATGCCTGCGAAAGAAATGTATGACATTTAATAACATTAAATCACTTCGCAACAATAATTAACTAAAGGGTCCTTTATTTTCTTTTCCCTCCATTCCTTAAATAATTCTTAATTGATAGGGTGGAAAGACAAATATATAGTTGTACATAAAAGCGGATGTAGGCTTTGTTTTCTGCTTTTTAATTGGCAGTAAAAACTTGAGAGCGTCGTGGGTAATAGGAAGAGAAAGAATCTCAGGGAGAGTCAGGCGATGTCGGAGAAATCATTGATTTTTATGAGCCCTAATCTTGAGCAAAGAATTTGCTCGTAATATTCTGCTATTTTTTCTTTTTTTCCTTGATCAAGTGGCTTTTAGCTTCTTGATGGTGCACCTGCAATTGACAACCCTTATTTTAAATTTCATTTTGACCTTTTTGTTAACCATATTATTTTAATACTTTATCGGAAGAAGGGTTTCCATGAAATTTTCCCTTTTACAGTGGCGTAAGGCCTTTTGGTGTTTCTTTGCTAGTTGCTGGATTTGATGACAGTGGTCCGCAGCTTTATCAGGTAACCATTTTTCAGTATTTTGCTTTTATTTTATGTGAAATTCTTAATACTTGTGTCAGCTAATAAATATGTTGAGCATAATATCAGCTTTCCAGACTGATCTTCTGCCTAATATTTGTATGGTCAAAGCATCTAAAGATGCCATATTTTGATTCTAATTCCTAAGGTTACACCCAAGGTTTAAAAAACCGGACCGAACCTACTGGTTGGACCTGAACCGGCCGGTGGTTTGGTTCTGGGCAGGCTAAAAATAGTTTCTTCATAAGCCCGACAATAACTGAATTGAACCTGCGGTTCAACCTGAGAATCGTCCTCTTTTATATTTATTTATTATTATTATTATTATTATATTTTTTTAGAAATTCATTACCAAGGATTTGAAATTTTGAGATATGCAGAATTTTTTTTTGGAAAACCCATTGAGAGCTAAGTCTTCATTTTATAGAGATATGAAGAATAAAGGCAAAACTACCGATATAGGACTAACGGTAGCTAAGAGAACTTCTATGTGGATTTTTAAGAATATTTACATGCATACCACCAAGTCTTATTTATTTACATATCTAACACCTAAACTTGTATTTTGTATAAATCTTATTTATGTACATATCTAACATCTAAACTTTTGTATTTTTTATAATTTTAGGAATATTTAAATGTATACCACTGAAATCTTATTTATTTACTTATTTAACATCTAAACTTGTATTTTTTATATTTTTAAGAATTTTTACATGCATACCACTCACATTTTTTTTATTTACATATCTAACACCTAAAATTGTATTTTTTATTAATATATCACTTTAATAATTTTTAAAGATAAAATTTTTAGCATTTACATGCATACCACTCAAATCTTATTTATCCGTGTTCGGCTCGTTTATAAATCAAGCAAAAAAAAAATTTATATTATTAATTTAATATATTAATACTATATTATTTAGGTCATATTTAATTAATTTATATGCTTATTATATCATCCGGTTCAACCCCGATCGAACCAATGAACCTTGAGTATTTCCTTCTTCCGGTTTGATGTCCGGTCTGATTTTCACAATCTTGGTTACACTAATCATCTAAATAGTGTTTGACTCGGGCTACTGGTTTGCCGTCTATAAATTGAAGTCATTTAATTAAGCAAATTAGTGTTAGGAGCTGGAATAAAATCAAATTTTAAAGGGTGCAAAAATGTGTGTTATTTTTTTTTTTATTTAATGACATTTTTAATGTAATCTTATAAATTATTTTTAAATTTAAAAATTAGATATATAAAATCATTAATTTAAGGAAAAATTAAGATTAATTATGTATATATTAATGAAATTAGTTTATTTATAATATTGTAAATTATTATTTTTATTTAAAAATTAAATATATAAAATCATCTAAATTAAAGAAAAATTAAGATTAATTATAGAGATATTAATGAAATTAAGATACTACATTGTTGTATTAACTAATGATTTATATTTAAAAAATATATTTATGGATTAAACGATTTATTTCATGATTTTATAGTAAATTATTTTTTAAAGTTAAAAATAAATTTATATAATTATGTAAATTTTTTAAAAAATAGTATTAAATTATAGATATTAATGAAAATAAATTAAAAAAAAAGAGATTAAATTATTTAGATATTAATGAAATTAGTTTAAACAGTCTAAGTAAATTTTCATGGTTAGTAAATTTATAAAATTATGTAAATTTTCTAAAAAAAATAGTATTAAATTATAGATATTAATGAAAATAAATTTTTATAAAATTATATTTGGTAATGATTTATATTTAAAATAAATATTTTAATTAATGAAAAAATCTTGATTAAATTATTTAGATAAGAAAAAAAATGAGATTAAATTATTTATATTGATGAAATTAGTTTAAACAGTCTAAGTAAATTTTCATGGTTTGTAAATTTAAATTTTCTAAAATAAAAGTTTTGAACGATATAAAATATTTTGAAATAATCTTAAACGACCTTAAACTAACAGTGAATACAAGGTAGTAGAAATTTTAAGTTTTGAATAATTCAAATGTATCTTCTTTGGCTTGGTCGAATAATACCTAGTGGTATATCTTAATAGTGCTTGAAGTGGTTGTGTTTGTAAATGATGTTCATCTTCATCATCTTCTATCTCCTCCCAAGTTAATGTGACGACTCTAGTCTCTTCTGCATAAAATGTTCTTCATTTGGAATCAGTTGACAAATAGAATTGATGTCTATCGAAATCAGGTCACATAGTAAACAATAAATTGAAGCGTCCATCATTAGAAGTTGTCTGATGCGGTGCATGAGATGTAGCTTTGTTTGGTGTCGATGGTTCTGTATATGTCGAGACACTATGATAGAAATACCCATATGACACATCAATGACAGATATATGCTGAGTATCTATAAAAGACCTTCTCAGAGCATCTCATCTAATTTTCCTAGAATGCTAGCTGGTGACTTTAGTGTAATATCAGAACTTGATCTTCGGGAAACACGCTCTATTGGTTAGTCGAACGCACTATAATAGACATGCTCATATGACACATCAATGACAAATATATGCAGAGTATCTATAAAAGACCTTCTCAGAGCATCTGCATCTAATTTTCCTGGAATGCTAGCTGGTGACTTTCGTGTAATATCAGAACTTGATCTTCGGAAAGCACACTCTAGTGGTTGATCGAACACACTATGATTAATTCAGAATGATTGATTTACTCTGCTAGTTGCATAACACCAACATTTTTATTACACCCACCTGTGAATCTCCTAACAATATCATTTGATCGTATAAAGTAGTCTACATGAATAAATTAATAATTAATTATATCAAGATGTGGTATGAGAAAAAAATAAATTTAATATAAAATTATATGCACTCATTAATCTCTTTCTAATTGACCTAGGTAATAAATATCTAGTGGTTGACTAGACGAACTTACTAGGTAGTTTGACACTCATGATCTATACCACTGCAAATAATCTGTTAGTTATGCTCATTGATCTTCTGAGTATAGGTTCAATGGTACTATGAGGGTCTAATAGTTGTTTCATAATTGAATGTAATTTTGGTAATAATGCATCCAATCTATGTGTAGTTCTCGTCGGTCATCGACCCTCTAAACTAATTTATCTATAGGTTTAAACTAATATGGATTGTATACAAGTATATGTTGAGAAATTTTGACACAAAGCTAGAAGAACACAGAGATTTAACGAGGTTCGGTAAAGATGTCTACGTCCTCGGGAGCAGAGCGGCGACCTTCTTTTCAATATTCAGAAAAGATTACAGAATAGAATATTCAGCTCTCTCAAAGACCTAGGATTACAAACAGTTCTATTTATAATCTTAGAGTAAACGCTACAGTACAATATGTAATTTTCAAATTACCTCTGTACCATATAGCGGGGCATTGACCCAACACCCCCAACCCACATAACGTAACTTCCCGATTTGAACAGATTCTTCCGCTTCGCTCCGCTCTGCTCCGCTTCGTTCCAGCGTCTGTCCCTACATGGTATATGAGCCATACCATAACAAATCTCCACCTTGGCGAATATCCAGCCCCTTAGGAGAAAAGATATCTGGGGAGTTACAACTGCACCAATGTGGGTTGGGCCATCATGCTTCTGCTGCGCCCACGTTGATCTCAACCCACTAAATTCCAAGAGACACACCTCTTAGACACACCTCTTTAACCTCTTTAATTCTAAGAGACTCCAAATTTTGGTATTATGAGTCATACCTAACAATTCTCCACCTTGGCAAATATCCAGCCATTTAGGAGAAAATTTTCACCTTGCGAATATCCAATCCCTTAGGAGAAAAATCTCCACTTAGGAGAAAAATCTCCCCCTTGCGAATATCCTGCCTTTTAGGAGAAAATCTCCACTTTGCGAAAATCCAGCCCCTTAGGAGAAATATATTCACCTTGCGAATATCCTGCCCCAACATCCTGCCCCTTAGGAGAAAATCTCCACTTTGTGAATATCTAGCCCCTTAGGAGAAATATCTCCACCTTTCGAACATCCTGTCCCTTAGGAGAAAAATATCATGGAGTTTCTTATGCACAAATGTGGGTTGAATCACTTTTTCTGTTCGCGCCAGCACCTCAGCTAAACTACTGTCCCGTGAGCAAAACCCTTCGCGAAACCATTGTTTGCAAATAATTGCGTCTGCTCGCTCGCCAGCACCCTACCGAACTCCACCTGTTGGAACTCCGACGACGAACTTGCAAACTCCGCTGGTCGAACACCATCAAACTCTGTTCGCAAAAGCTCATGTCTCGTGGTAACTGCACACGAACTCCTGTTCGTTAACTCCACCTCGTCTAATGCCACGAAGGTTCATGAACTGTTGCCCCTCGAAGTCGCGACGCCGCCTCTATCGCAAACTCCCCAAAGCATAACTCGTAGAACTGCTGCAACCCTTTATCTGAACTGCTTCGCACCTGTTCGTTTCCTCAAGCCTGTCTGCCTTGCGAAAAATCCGTCTTCCAAATTTTCTTCTCCGCAAGATTTCTTGTTGAGCCAGAAATTGTACTTTGATTCTGCCACATAACCTTTTAAATAATCCCTTAATTAAGATTCTTTAATTAAGTTTACCTTAATTAAGTTTCCAAGAAAAATAATTTTCTCTTAATTAAGTTTCCCAGAGAAGTAACAAAATCTTTCCAAAAAAAAAAAGAATTGAAATATTCCCTTAATTAAATATTTCATTTAATTAACTGAATTTCAAATCTTTTCCTTTCTTAAGCCTCCAGCAAAAGAAATCTCACATCCGCAGATCCAACAAAAAAAAATTTAATTAAGTTTCCTTAATTAAATATTTTCTTTAAATCAACTTAATTGAAAAATAACTTTCCTTTAATTAAGTAAAATTCAAAAACTTTCCTTTCTTCAGCGGGAAAAGAATTTATTGATTTCCTTCCTTTTTCTTCTCTGCAGCCTTTAAAGGAAATGGATCGAACTAGCAAAGGAAACAAATGGGAAGATTCCTTCC